CACAAAAATAGAGACATAGACATTTGGAATCGAATAGAAAACCAGGAAATGAAACCAACATCTTACAAACACCTAATCTTCAATAAACCAAACAAGAACATACCTTGGGGGAAAGACCCCCCTATTCAATAAATGGTGCTGGGAGAACTGGATATCCACATGTAAAAGACTGAAACTGGACCTACACCTTTCCCTACTCACAAAAATTGATGCAAGATGGATAAAGGACTTAAATTTAAGGCATGAATCAATAAAAATCCTCAAAGAAAGTATAGGAAAAACACTGGAAGATATTGGCATACGGAAAGACTTCATGAATAAGACTGCCGTGGCAATTGCAACAAAAATAAAAATAAACACATGGGACTTAATGAAACTGAAAAGCTTCTGTACAGCTAAGGAGACAACAACCAAAGCAAATAGACAACCTACACAACGGGAAAGGATATTTGCATATTTTGAATCAGACAAAAGCTTGGTAACTAGGATCTATAGAGAACTCAAATTAATACACATGAAAAAAGCCAACAATCCCATATATCAATGGGCAAGAGAGATGAATAGAACCTTCTCTAAAGAAGACAGATGAATAGTGAACAAACATATGAAAAAATGCTCATCATCCCTAATTATTAGAGAAATGCAAATCAAAACCACCCTGAGATACCATCTAACCCCAGCGAGAATGGCCCACATCACAAAATCTCAAAACTGCAGATTCTGGCGTAGATGTGGAGAGAAAGGAACACTTTTACACTGTTGGTGGGACTACAAACCAATACAATCTTTTTGGAAGGAAGTATGGAGAACCCTCAAAGAACTCAAGCTAGACCTCCCATTTGATCCTGCAATCCCAGGATTCCCACTGGGCATCTACCCAGAAGGAAAAAAATCCTTTTATTATAAGGACACTTGCACTAGACTGTTTATTGCAGCTTAATTTACAATCGCCAAAATGTGGAAATAGCCTAAATGTCCACCAACCCAGGAACAGATTAACAAGCTGTGGTAAATGTATACCATGGAATACTATTCAGCCATTAAAAAAAGGAGACTTTCCAGCAGGGGTCCTCAAACTTTTTAAACAGGGAGCCAGTTCACTGTCCCTCAGACCGTTGGAGGGCTGGACTGCAGGCCCTGGGACAAGTTGGCTGCTAAGCAGGACAGGCAGTGGCTGCAAAAACACCTGGCGGGCCGGATAAATGTCCTAGGTGGGCTGCATGTGGCTTGCAGGCCGTAGTTTGAGGACGTCTGCTTTACAGCCTTTGTATTAACATGGATGGAAGTGGAACACATTATTCTTAGTAAAGCATCACAAGAATGGAGAAGCATGTACTCAATTCAATGGAGAATCCTATGTACTCAATTTTGATATGAGGACAGTTAATGACATGGTGGGAGTAGGGGAAGGGGAGAGCAGAGAAAGTAAGAAGGACAGGGGAGTGGGGAAGGGAATAGTAGAGAGAGGGAAGGAGGGAGGGGGTTGGGGTCTTGGTTTGTGCCACACCTTTTGGGGGCAAGACACGATTGTAAGAGGGACTTTATCTAACAAATGCAATTAGTGAAACCTGGTTTCTTGTACCCTCAATGAATCCCCAACAATAAATAAAAAAAAAATTGCTGTTTGTTCCATCATAATTTGTCCAATCTTGGAGCCACATTCTGGCAAGGGCACCATGACCTCTGCAGGGATACGGAATCTCCTGAATACCACGTTCAAATTTTCTAGCCTAAAGGCAACTTGGGTGACTGACTTCCAAGAAATCTATAAGGATACTTTGTTTGGAAAACATGTCTGCTGTGAGCAGTGCAAGGTTGGTTTTTCAGCTAGTGAGTCCTTCCCATGTCTCTGGAGGATGACTAAATTCTAGTTTGGTTGGTGGTGACATGTAGGTGTAGAGATGACAGTGGTCCATCCAGGAGAGCAGGTGAGAGGATGAAGTTCCCAGTTCTAACAAGGGCCAAGGCAGAGTCTGCAATCGCTGGCCTGCAGGTGTATTCTGTTGGGCACTGTGGGCGCTGGGCTGTGAGAATGGCCTCAGATCTCTAACTCCAGGCATGGTGGACAATTGACCCATAGTGCCTATTTCTTTTTCTCCACTACTCTTTAAAAGAGAATGCAAGACCTGGAAAATAATCAAACACTCATGGGAGCCAGACATATAACATTAATGTGAGAATCAGGCTGAATACAAAATAACAGAAGAGATGAAAGAGTGAGGACTCCATGTGTACCTCCTAAAACTTTTTCTTTAAGTGAGGGCCTGTGGTAGTGAGCATCTTCTGAAAAGCATAAACAAAGATGGGACTCAATGCATAAGTAATTGAGTAAGACAAATGCCTATGAGTTGAGTGGATAAAGAAAGCCCAGCTGCTGTGATTACCATGATGAGCATAGTGGGTTACTGAGGCAGGCCTTTTCCTGGGAGAGGCATAAGGCCTCTGATTGTGGCTCCAGGCCTCCTTGCTGGCCTTGCAAGACTTTCTGAAAAACTGCACTGCAGTCAAGGAGGCATTCACTCCAACTTCCTCCTTTCCCTCTCTCCTTCACATAGGCCAGAGCTGCACTGTGGCCTACTAGCTCTTGTAGCCTCTTCAGGTTCTTTCTTCATGTTCTGTACCTTGTGGACTGAATATGTTGAAACCCTAATTGCTAACATGATAATATTAGAAGGTGGGACTTTAGGAAGTGATTAGACCATGAGGGTGGAGCCCTCAGAAATGGGATTAGTGCCTTTATAGAAGGTACTTCAGAGAGTTCTCTTGCCTTGACATGCCATGTGAAGACTGAATGAGAAGTTGGCTGTGTTCATTTCAGGAGCAGGCCCTCACTAGCACCCACCACACTGGTGCCCTGATACAGCCTCCAACACTATGAGAAATAATGTCATAAATCACTCAGTTTATGGTATTTTGTTATAGAAAACTGAATTATGATATTCATGGGCACTTTTTTCCTATTAATTTAAAAAAAAATATTTATTAAAGGTGGTGCAAGTGTTTTGATTACATGGATATCTTATACAATGCTTATGTCAGGGTCTTTGGTATGCCCATAACCAAGAGTAATGTTCCTTGTATGCAATAGGTGAGTTTTCATCTTATACCCACTCTCTTGTTCTTTTTCCTCCTTGATTTCTCATGTCCTTTACATCACATTTTGCCCCATGTACCCCTCTGTTAGCTCCCATTTATTAGTCAGAACATGTGGTATTTTGCTTTCCACTCCTAAGATATTTCACTTATATCCTCTGTGTGTGTATACACACACACATACATACATTTTCTTTATCCACTTAACTCATAGGCATTTGTCTTACTCAATTACTTATTCATT